TTTAAAAACTAACTAGATTGATATATATATCTTTCATTGATATATCTATCTGCAAACAAGCGCTAGCGCTTAATTTATTTTTGCTATAATGTTTTTCTTGATAGCAGAAAAATGTTTTCTCTCTTGTATTTCTCTGGTTTTTTGCTTTACTTAAAAATCTAATGTTTCGTATGCACAAAGAAACCAGCGAAATGATTTGGTGTGTTAAAAAGGATTTGTCACAGAAAAAAAATATATTCATCTACATGTGAGCTATTTCTCTGCAAAAGTATAAACGAAAAGGAATAATATTTCTAGTTGCGAGTTTTCTATTTTGCCGTCCGTCTGCCACTGTTTTCCGGGCGTTACAAAGCATGCATGCTGGCATATCTTTACGCGCGCGCATCCTAATTTTCTACTGACCTTCTCTAGATGTCATCGCATTTATCACGAGCAAAGCATTATTTACTTAATGCTGCTTATCTAGTACGAGTTGGCGTATATACTTTCTACAGTAAGTAAGCATTTTTGTAAGAAAATATATATATTTACAGCGCGCATTTTGCCGCTATATATTTCTTTAATGCTAAATTATGATTAATAAAATTTTCTAAATCTCTGAATCTGTGAGTATTGATTAATCTCACTTTTATTAAAAAATTGATTTAAAAAATTATTTATCAGACTATTATCTTTCCTTCTTCGACTTTCGTTTTTAGCAATCTAAATATAAGTTTATTTTAATTATAACCATACATGCATTTGTTATAATATCGATAATACGAATTAGATCAGAGCAATTATATGCAATTAATATCAAAGAAACGAGTAAATATTTTCAATCTTCGGCAGCAATGCATAAGGACGCAATAAAACCACACACATAATGTGTATTCTACCTCGATAATTACTACAAAAGTGATTATATATGAGGAAAACGCTCGCAAGATCGCCCTCTTTAGATGGGATTAATACTTCATGAACGTAATGCACCTTAATGCGACCTGTACCGCGAAATGTAAATTCGAGCGTTAACTTTTCGAGCGCTTCATTCAAGTTTCACCTGCGATTAACCCCGAGCTTTTACGCTAAGAGCACTGCGAGAGATATTTTTTTTTTAACTAACATTTTTTCAATTTTAAATGATTATATATTTTATTAATATATAAATGCGTGCATATCTTAAAACATTATTCATTGCAAATTAGTACAATTACGCCGTAATCTATAGGGCATTATTATTAAAGTCTCTCTCATAGTTATCAAGAAAACATACTTCGCAGACTTCTATGCCAATTGAAGATGAAAGCTTTATATTTATACTTTATTTGATATATAAGCGGCATTTTAATAATTTCACAATATTTGAAAGACTTTCTTTGTGAACCGCGGTGGAGCGGTTATAATGCTTCATAGTTCAATACACAGAAAGGGGCATCCTTTCGCATTTTTTAACGATACAAACTCCGTGTTTCCGTGCATTATTATGCCGCTCACGAGACGAGATATATCTCCCGAAATAATCTTATTTAATCTAATGTATGCATTAATTATTATTTAGTATTTTTCATCTTTTTTTACACGATGGCGGAAATTAACTATGATGACGATAAAACTTAACTTGCAATTTTATTCAACTCGGTACGAAAAATTATTTATTCAGTGTTCTTTTTTCAAATTTCATTGGCATTTTAACGATATAAAAAATATTCTGCATGATTATTATCTTTGTACATATTTCAAACAATGAAAAATATTAAATGTCTTAAATTGCATAAATGGCAATGACTTTTGTTTTTTTTTTGCAAACAATATAAATATATAATATATAAATATATAAATAAAGGTCACAAAATTGGTATTTATGTGATAATCTAGTTATTCTTATTTGCATAAATTTGACATAAAAAAAACATGCTACAAAATAGCGAATATATTCTTATTCCAACAAGAAAAAATAGGTTGTTATTCTTTACTCACCCTTATCGAGCGACCTGGCCAAAAGGATTGTCGGCAGGATCAGGAAGACCATGTACCACGAGAGCCGGTCCCGCATCTTCGCGAGGTTCCAAGTCCTCCTGGAAAAGAAACATTCGGTTTATGTCACAGCATCCGACTTACGACGCACTATACACTATACATGCTTGCTTTTACTATGTCAATGCGTTTACGATGTATCCAGTAGTAGAACTTCATTCGCGCGTAGAAAACTTCGTTTATCATATACCGAAAACTCGGCCGGCAAATGTGAGCATCGCGAGAGGAACAGGGTGGAGAAAACAAGATTTTCGTTCTTCTCTATGTGCATATAAAAACGTACGCGCAATCTAATCTGCAGTTAAATTTTGCCTGGTGAGCTTGCGAGACATTCGCATGTTCGTTGAATTTGACAAATTTTTATCATGACATTTATATTTTATATGTATTTTATGACGCGAACAGTTCTTTGATCATATTATTTTTCCAATTTTAATCGCAGAGATGTGATAAAATATCAATATCAAGCTTATTGATATTGATCTTTTTACTTATTGTATTTAAATATGTAAAGTGTTAATTTTTGAGTGTACTATTGTTAAATAGAGTATTTATCGAGAAAACCTAAAATGTATAATATAAAAAAAAAACTGAATATAATTATTTTTTATAAGCATCAATCTAACTAAAGTGTCTACCAATTAATACTAAATAATTGCTGCATAAAATATTAAATTTTGAAGAGAACAATATCAATAGATATCGAATAATAAATCATATTGAGATTTATTATAAATAAAAAAATTTAATCAAATAATATAAGAGATGTAAATTAAAGATTAAACTAAAGTTATAATGGTAATCCGAGATACACAAACAAATTTCGACATTCGCGCGTACGCAGGATATATGTATATTTTATTTAATTCATTGAAATCGTGTTGTGAACGAAATGCATACGTGCATCACGTGGTATTTGTTCCAGCACAAACGATGCAGCAGCGTTGTTTGGTGCGATGCATCAGATGAGCGCGATACCGCACGTTTTTCGAAGCGCAAAACAATTTTGGTGCGACGTAGGGTGCCGTCCGGACCAGCGAAAAGCTCAACGTTACACGAGCGATAAATTCACGTCATGGAAGGTGGTGAAAATGAGAGACGTATCACCGTTGGAAAACTATGAAACGGAGAATCGCTGACGCGCCGCCGCTAATTTCGCGTTGTTCGTAACGTCAAAGTATGTCGTCAGCACTTCGATTCTCGCGATGGAACTTTCGACAACGACATTACGCAATGATTTAAAATTATTCAGGATCGATAAATTTCACACGTCTTACTGCCCACGATTTACAATGTAATGTAAACATTGGAAAGATTCACAAATAAGACTGTTCGTTTCAACGTTGAAACTTTCAAACATGATCGATGCTTTTCAGTTGTGACTGAAAATTAAAGACTTGTGATGTGAGAGAATTAATGTTCAGAGACATAAGATAACAAAATCTTCTTTTTTCTATAATTTCACAATATTCGATTTTTTAACAATATTTCAAAAAGATTTTATATAATGACATTTTACACACAAGTTACTATTAACAATACCGAAGCAACGAAACGCAATGTTACCTACACCGTTGTAAAATTCTTTTTCAAACTCGTATAATATGGATATGTGTGTGATTAAATATCTTATAAAATTATACACTTTTTCACAAAACTTTCCACTCTCAAATGATTCTTTATCAAAGTTCAAAAATGGGGAAGGTGAGATTAATGGATGGCAGCGTATTTGGACGACATTAGCGAGTCGAGATTGCGTAAGTCACCGTTTCTTCAAGAATTAACGCCTTACATTTCGTGATAAACGAGGAGAGAAATTTGTATCAATTTAACACTCTTGTCTGTCCGAGAATTGCGTAACGCACAATTATACAGTCTGCTCGTGCTGATTAAACGGTACGCGAAATCTGTGAAAACGCGTTCGTATCTTCCAACTGTTATTCTGCTTGATTCTAGTCGTGTTAATTGGAGCATTAAAGTTTCGTTCGCAGTGTCATGTGGAAACGCGAAATAGAAGATAACCCCAATAAGATTATCGCGATAAATTGTATCAGAGAATTGTTGTGCAAGAATTATTTGCATTATGTCAGTTGCTCATATGTTTTTCTCTGCTTGCACATGTTATCTAAACGAGATATAATTAACGCAAAATCAACGTATAAGTTGTTTGTAATATTTGCTATTAATGCGATCAGTGATAGTAAGAAATAAATAGAAAATATTTACATCTTTCATAATGTAAATATATTTTTTATATAATGCAATATATCAAATTTCACATAGACATGTAGATAATATTATAGAATCCTTAAAAATGATATTATTCTTTTTTTTCACATACTATTTTCAATTTGATTGTGAAATAATCAGAGTTTATCTAATATTTCCTCGCATACAATTTTGCCATGTTATTTTTAAAAATATCGAACTGTTTACGCCAGTTTTATGAACAACTTAAAATACATAAATTCTCCCAGATTTTGATTTGAGAACAATCAGCATTGCATGTTGCTTCGATAGCAATTATTATTTATATTAAATCCTTCAGATTAAATAAACAAATATTACTGATAACGTTAATTGAAAATCTTTTTTATTTGCCTCGTAGATCCATAACAGAAAAAAAAACCGTATATAATGATAGAACTGCTGACTGAATCATTGCAGCTACAGATATTTATTTGATACTATATTTTACTTGATTATGTTATTTATATGACTTACAATGTATGTGTGTGATATTCCATTGTAATACTTTTTAATTTTTAAAATATTTACACATTTTAGAGCTATTCGTTTATATAATAGGCATGTAAATTATTTTAGCATATATTTCAGAGAGCAAAAATATGTAAAATTGGTAAACATATTATTGAGTATTTAGATAATAATTGCAACAATAATTGCATATATAAATTAATTTTTACAAACTTATATATTATCACTAACATAAATATTAATAAACTTGGAAACTACAATCATTAAAAATTCATTAATTATGTAAAAATGTATATTTACTCATTGTGAGATATTTAAATAAATGTGTGTCACATATACACATTGTACATTTCATACTAAAGATTTAATTTGAATATTAATCACTATAATGTTACTATAATATTTTTAATTGAGTCAAATGTGACAAAATGTTTTATATCATAATGATATAACGTTAATTTAACGAAATCATTAAATAAGAGGATAACAATTGATTTTATTATATCTACTATTCGACCTTCGTGACTCTCTTCTAGCTTTTTAGATTTTGCAATTTTCTCTTGCTGAAAGAACTTGACACATATTGGAATGTTGTTTTATTTGATACGCGTTCTCATTTAAAGCTGTAATTGTAATGAATAAGCTATTTATCCGAGTAATCGTATTGCATGCAATGCAAATGCCGGACAAGTTTCATTTGGTGCGCGGAAATTTGCTTTACGCTCTCCGCGAATAAAAGTTTAAAATATCCTGCTATCCAATTTACTGATCGACTTCGCTCGACACGATAAACGAATAAATTTTTATTCTAAGCGATTAAATTTCCCAACGAACACGAAGGTTGAATCGTGCTAACGTTGCTATTCCTGTACTGTAAGCGATGCGCGCCGAAACTTTCGACGCTTCCAATCTGGGCTGGTTAATCAGTCCATCTGCTGACATTCTCGTCACCGAGATCGCTCGGATCCGAATCATTAATATGCTTACTTCCAGAATTGTCTTGGCGTCCGCGCGCTCGGAAAATTCTTGTCGCGCGACAAATAATTTTATTCGTGCTAGAGCTCGCTTTCAATTTAAACTCGGACTTCGGAAAAAGTTTCCCGAGAGTCAATCAGTAGCGCCGATACGTATTCACAGGACGTAGAGCACGGAGAAGTTCGTGAGGCTTTTGCACGGCAACAATGCCTCGTGATCGAATAAGCCAGAAATTATTGTGCTCGTTCCTAAACGTTCCCTCGAGTAAAATCTTGTTTAATGGAATAATAGATCACGGTTTGCAGTATTAATGCTACGTCAATATTAGCGAACGGATGTAACTAACGCCCGTTTGTTGACGCGTGGATACGAGCTTCAACGATAATTCGCGATTTGCGTCTGATTCTTGTTGCGAACGGACACGACCATTGCTTCGTCGCATTTAATCTTGCTGGCGCTTGTTGAATTGTCGTGATCCGATTGACGGTCGTGTACCGCCAAGAGATATTCTTGACGTTCTATCTTAATCCAAGAACAACATACGAGATATCGCTGTAAACTTGAGTAATTTTATTTATACACCAAGCTGAAATTTACAGATATAGATTTAGATTATGCGTGCAACGCATATATATCATTATTAAAACGAACATACTACGCTAGAATAAAATTGAAATCTTTAAACCGTATAATTTTCAATACGATGTGCAATTATTTCAGAATATGTCAACAAGTGTTGAAATATTTCTAATAATCGTTGTAGGAGAGGCGCTCTGGTATGAATTGTGAATAGTCCTAAAATGTATAATATAAAAAAAAAAACTGAATATAATTATTTTTTATAAGCATCAATCTAACTAAAGTGTCTACCAATTAATACTAAATAATTGCTGCATAAAATATTAAATTTTGAAGAGAACAATATCAATAGATATCGAATAATAAATCATATTGAGATTTATTATAAATAAAAAAATTTAATCAAATAATATAAGAGATGTAAATTAAAGATTAAACTAAAGTTATAATGGTAATCCGAGATACACAAACAAATTTCGACATTCGCGCGTACGCAGGATATATGTATATTTTATTTAATTCATTGAAATCGTGTTGTGAACGAAATGCATACGTGCATCACGTGGTATTTGTTCCAGCACAAACGATGCAGCAGCGTTGTTTGGTGCGATGCATCAGATGAGCGCGATACCGCACGTTTTTCGAAGCGCAAAACAATTTTGGTGCGACGTAGGGTGCCGTCCGGACCAGCGAAAAGCTCAACGTTACACGAGCGATAAATTCACGTCATGGAAGGTGGTGAAAATGAGAGACGTATCACCGTTGGAAA